TGGAAAAATGGGTGTCTCCTTCAGTTAAGATGCTGCCCATTGTATGAAATCTCCAAAATCCAATCCCACCCACACCATTGATTCTACAAACCTTGAAACAATCCTGCATGCATGCATATATATATTCACTTGGAAGGAAGTTCCACCTAACCTTTCAAAACTTAACTTCCAAGTCAGCTGTACTTGTACAAAGCCTTGCATTGCAACATTCAGCTAAGTCTTGCTGTTCTCCAGCAAGAGATATTTCATCTCTATTTTATTATTATTATTATTATTTTTTAAAGATATAATATAGACACCCACTCTAGTGGACTCTGGACGGCTTACAAAATACAATACTAAATTAGAACAATTAAAAATATTAACTACAAATCCTTCATTGTTTAATATGTATATTTAGAACAAATGGACTCTCTCCTTTGCCAGGTTTTTGGGGCTATTTTCCTAGACTTAACCTGTATAAGTTAAGGGGAGAATGACCAGCAAGGCGTTTTTGCCGCATTTATGCAAATTCCTGCACCAAACCGTCTGCTTTGCAGTTTTTGCCGCAGACCCTTCACGTGGATGAGCTCCCAGCCTGCTAGTGTAATGCTGGAAATATAGGGTGGGGGTGTGTTTCAGGCAGGGAGGGGCCCCTTTGGAACCAAGAAAGAGCCTAGCTAGGCTAATGGTTCAGCAGAAAGTCCATAGAGCGAAGGACTCTGTGTGTGCAACATTCATTCGAGCCCAAACTAGGTTTCTTAAAAGAAAAGGGAATTATGTGGTTGAGAAAGGAGCTTCTATACACAAGGTAAGAAAAAACAGTGGCAGAAATGGTGTTGGGGGTGATACACAAGGCAACCACGACCCTCAGTTTCTAAGTTTTCAAAGGGTAGCATATTGCAAAGGTTCTCTGCTTGCCTTTTAGCATTCTGGAGGACTTCTGACCTTTGGGGAAGAAAAGAAGGAAGGAAAGAGGAGAAGAGGATGAAGAGAGGTGGCAATTTTTTTAAAATAACTTAGTTAGCAGTGGAACAAGAACAAGGTTCCTATGGGCTAGTGTGTTCGTGGTTTCAAAAAAGATGTAACCCTGATTCATTGTATGGAATGCTGCTCTCTATGTAGGGGGGTCAATTGTAACCCTACCCCCTTCAACTTCTGGTTTCTAGATAAAGTGGAGGACACCCATATTCCCCACTGCCAGCTGGGGTTCATAGGTGCAGGAATTCCAAAGACAGGGCTGTGAATTGCTGGGGGAAGCGCTATTCTACACAATTATCTTGGAGCTGTGAAATGAAAGCCCGTTCTGACGATAGCCTCCTGAACCACAATCAACCAGGGGCTTCTTGATGGAGAAAAGCTCTTTGTTTAGCTTAGCTGCATCTTTAAGGCAGAAGAGCATCCTGTTTAAAATTGTCAGGAGAATATACTAATGGTTCCTTCCTTGGGTGATGTGGAAAAAAACAGTTGCTCATTAAAGGCTATAAATGCTAGTTTGGACCGCATCATCATACAATTTCACTCAAATAAATGGAGCTAGAATAAGAATTGCCATAGATATTTGAAAAGGTGCCCTTTCTTTTTTTCTTGTATTGTGAGGAGGGTGTATCTCCCCACGGGTGAGTGACAAGAATTATACCAGAGAAAATAATGTAAAAATAAAAGAGTTGTGTACAAGTTTACAAATCAGAAAAAACAGGGTAGCAGGCCAATCCCTTTCAGTAATTCTATTGTAAATTATAAATTTTGGGGAGTTATTTGTAAAAAAAACACAAAACAATAAAGGCGGGATACAAAAAAATAAAAATGAAAATGTAATAAATGCACACAAGCAAATTCATTCCGTTTCCTAAACAGAGGAGGGAGAGGAAATGAATTCCCCAGAGAGAAATTTAGACAAATTCTGGAGGAATCTATGAACCTTCTACTTATTGTCTACAAATGGGGAATGCACACACTGGTCCACCCTCCAGCGTAGAGGAAAGTTTGCTGAAGGTGCTTAAAAAGGCTTCTCTCTCTATGAAATCTGGGGCTGCCCATAGACCCCTGAGCCTAATTGTTACTAACTGCAGTTTGCACCTTACTTATATGGCAACAGCAGGGTAGTTAAGCGCCTGAGCTGCAGAATCTTGTTGCTGTCTTTAACATAAATCGCCTTCAAATCTTGACCCAGTTATTCCAGAAGCCTTCAGATGGTTTAAGGCAAAGCTAGTCTCTCTCCCTTTCACACTGCAGTACAAGAATCCCACCATATTGGTCCCTCTGACAAGGCTGCTGTAAGGCTTGCAGAGAGAAGGTATGTAGGAATGTCCTTGCTGTTGCTAGGACCCGCCTCCTCAATGTTCCTTTGTTTCTGATTCCGCAACCAGGCTTCTGAACATCTCCATATCTTCCTAGATATAGACCAGCATGCTTGGGCTGCTGTTTACAGGAAGGAAAGAAAGAAGATGCTGCGCCAATCGATCCAAATGAAAGTACCACTCCCAAAATGGAAGACAATCCCAGCAAATCGCCTAGTAACCAGAATGACCGAGAACAGCAAATATATTTTTTAAAAAATAGGGGATAACTGGTTTTGGAAATATCCAGGTTAAAGATAACCCCAGCAGATCTCCTAGTACTCAGAATGACTAAGAAAGGCAAGTGTTTATCAATAGGGAATAACTGATTTTGGATGTATGAAAATTGAATAAAATCATGTTTCTAATGAAGCTTCTGTTTCACCCTGAACTGTAACAAAAAAAACATATGTGCGTGCCGGTCTGATAGATTGTATGTGGATAGTACATGGGATGTGTAACTAGACTGGCCTTTTCAGACAGCAAAAATGCAGTATTTTGTCTTCAAGAAGATCTAGTCAGAACTTGTGATGGTGGCAGTATGTGAGCACAAACTAGCCCACCTCATTTTAGTCAAGCGTATTAGTAAAAGCAGCCCAGTCTAAGGTTCAGCGGGTCATGCAAATGCAGAACCTTGTGTTTGTTCATTTAGTAAACCATGGCTACATTAACTAACCTTGAATAAGCCTGTGCTAAATGTTACAAGGACTCCTTTACTGGTAAGAAAGACAAACAGAAAGAGAAAGAAGCTTGTGTTTAAATTTATATACCCCCATTCATTCTCAACAATATGTGAGAATATATAATATTCATTCTCAACAATATATATGAGAATATACAATGATCATTCTCAACAATATATATGAGAATATACAATATTCATTCTCAACAATATATATGAGATTATACAATGATCATTCTCAACAATATATATGAGAATATACAATATTCATTCTCAACAATATATATGAGATTATACAATGATCATTCTCAACAATATATATGAGAATATACAATATTCATTCTCAACAATATATATGAGAATATACAATGATCATTCTCAACAATATATATGAGAATATACAATGATCATTCTCAACAATATATATGAGAATATACAATGATCATTCTCAACAATATATATGAGAATATACAATATTCATTCTCAACAATTATATATGAGAATATACAATGGTCATCCTCAACACCACTCATACAGAAGCAACATTAGGTGTCCCAAAGGTGCTTTTTCACGAGGGAACTGGACTTTCTTTTTTCTTTGAAGAACCTTCTTCAGCTCTTTTTCCAAGAGAGAGAGAAAAAATACTCCAGTTGCCTCGTGAAAAAGCATCTTTGGGACAACCGGGACCTGGATGGCTGAGAGTCTCCATAAACATTAGATGTATGTAAAGAACGGTCTCGGCAGCCACGTTTTTGGTTCGTTGGCCTTCGCTCTCTCCCAAATCAGAAGCAACCGGCGCTTGCTTTGAAATCCCATGAAAATCAATGGGAAGCAGACCTCCGCGCTCGCGTGTCCGGCTGCAATCTTGGCGCTTACAGTGGGGCTCCGCGGCCTGCTTGGGCAGAAGCCGGTGGCGGCCTTAATCCGCGTGCCTTCAACTCAGCACTAATCTAGCTGTTCTTTCCAGCCGTGCACGGCGAAACGCGTTTACCTGAAGCAGGACCGTGTGAAACCAAACGGGCCTGCCTTCCTCCCGAAACTTGCGGGTAGGGAAAGGAAGGAAGGGACTTCGATTTCCCGTCGCAGGCGCTGGGCTCACGGCTCGGTTTCACGAGGCGGGCTCAGCTTTCCCAGAGAGGAGGGCAACGGACGCTGGAAGGGGGTCCCCGGAACAAAGCGGTTTCGAGGTGCCTTGGGCCGGAATCGGGGCCCAAATGCCCGCTTGCCTTTAGTTACTTTTCTACGGTAGACGAAGACACGAAGGAAGAAGCCGGGTCATAAATAACACGTCGGATTTTTTTAATTATTATTTTGATTATCGATAATGAAAAAAAAATTAATCAGGGTTTAATTAAAATATTTTCTTACGTCCCTCATCGGTCGACAAATTATTTCCTCTCTTCATTAAGTTAATTTAGGAGAAAGAAAGGGGGGAATTGAACCATTTTAAGCGAGCTAAAGAAGTGCACTTAGCTGGTTTGATTCTTAAAGTAATAGGAGAGGCCGGACGTTTCCGCCCTTGGAGGAAAGAAAAAAGAAAAAAAAAAGAAATCTTTAGTAAAAATCTGCAGGTAAAAAAACTACTAGCTTTTTTAGTATCAAAGTCCAAGGAGAAGTGGAAGGAAGAAGGAGAGGAAGGAGAGGAGAGGAGAGGAGAGGAGAGGAGAGGAAGGAAGGAAGGAAGGAAGGAAGGAAGGAAGGAAGGAAGGAAGGAAGGAAGGAAGGAAGGAAGGAAGGAAGGACAATAACCAATGTAGAAAGTGCAGCAGTTGCCATATGGGAATCGAGCTAAGGCGCCCAGTGCAGTAACAAAAGCCTAACTCTCATCTAGCCCAGAAATGTCAGAAGGTAGTTTCAAAGAAAACAAAAGGTGCCTTGAGAGTAGTCCAATCATGGTGGAGGTGGCAGAGATCAAGACAAGCACCCCGGCCTGTCCATCCGTTGATGCCCCGAAGTCTTTGGCCAAGGTTCCCAGCAGCAGAAGGAGGAGGAAGAAGAGCTTAATTTGCTGGGACCGAGGCTTGTGCTTCCAGGTCTCTGTCGGCTTCCTTTTTGATCTCTCCTTCCTTCCCCTCTTGCTGAGTGGCCGGGAACTTGTCCTTGTTGTTCTCTTTTTTCCATTTCATCCTCCGGTTCTGGAACCAGATCTTGACCTGCCGCTCGGTCAGTCCTAGCGCGTGGGAGACCTCGATCCTCCTCTTCCTGGTCAAGTAGGGGTTAAACAGGAACTCCTTTTCCAGCTCCAAAGTTTGGAAACGGCTGTAGGTTTGCCTCCCTCTCCGCCTCCCGGGAGCGGCTGTTGGAAACAAAAACCACAGCGTTTCTTTACAAAAGGAAAAAAAAATATTAAAAAAAAATAAACCAGGAAACAAAACAACCAAAAGCAACGGCTTGGCTCGCGGCCCCGGCGCTTTTAGGCTTTCCTGTCCCAGAGAATAAAGTATGTTGAACAAATTATTTTCCAGTGCCCAAAGCATGAGCTCTGGCTGTTTATTCAAATCTCTTCCTCAGTTACAACTAACAGAGTGAATTAACTTGCTATAAATGCAAGTACTCTTGAGTGTACCCGTACGTGATCCAAACGCAGTTTTAACACTCAGAATAAAATCTGAAATATTATCTGGTTTGTTCTGGTTTCTTTCAAAATATCGTTTTTTAATGCCACAGTTCAAACAATTTGTGGTTTGGGCGTCGTTTTAAGAAATCCTTATATTATCAGAAACAATTGTACCGAGTGTGTTGTTAACAAGGAATTATCGCTATCACAACAGTATAATGTAACTGTGAAAGGAAAATGAAAGAAAGAAAAAGGGGATTGACGGAATAACTGGCAGCTCGATTTAAGAGGGGAAGAAAAGAAAAGAGAGAGAAAAAAGTAGAAAGAAAGCAAAAAGAGAGGAGACAAAGAAGAGAGAGAGAGAGAGAGAGAAAAGAAAGAAAGAAAGTGAGAAAGTGAGAAAGAGAGAGAGAGAGAGAGAAAGAAAGTGAGAAAGAAAGAAAGAAAGAAAGAAAGAGAAAGAAAGAAAGAGAAAGAAAGAAAGAGAAAGAAAGTGAGAAAAAAGAAGGAAAGGAACGGGAAGAATAAAGGCAATCAGTTTGGGAGAAAGTGAGAAAGAAAGTGAGAAAAAAGAAGGAAAGGAACGGGAAGAATAAAGGCAATCGGTTTGGGTCCAACCTTGTGGTCTCATCCAGGGAAACACTGGAGAAGAAGACGCGCTCTGATTTAAGGGCCTTGGTTCCTCGCCAATATTAGCACAGGACGATTTACAGTCGGGATACTGAAGCAGCTCGGCCTCTTGGTGTGTCGTAAAAATCGTCGGTCGCTGTAAGTTATCGTATCCGTAAAACTTGGTCGGCTCGGCTGAACAAGGCAGGCCGGAGCAGGGGGCTTGCAAAGGAGGCGGGGGAGGCGGGGGAGGCTGGTAAGCCGAGGGGCTCCCCCCGGCCAGGTGCTGCTGTTGCTGCGAGTGGGGAGGAGGAGGAGGAGGAGGAGGAAGAGGAGCGTGGGGAGAAGGGTGGAAGTAGTCCGCGCCGCTGACGGCCGGGCCGGGCCCGGGAACCGGCGGCGCAGGGGGGTAGCCTGAGGCGGCGGCCGCGGCTGCAGCGGCCGCGGCGGCTGCAGCGCTGTTCCCGTAGAGCAGGGCGGCGGCGGCGGCGGCGGCGGCGGGCGCAAAGTGACAGTCGTAGTAAGCGGGATTGATGGGCGGCTCGCCCCCTCCTGCCGCCGCCTTGTACTTGGAGTACAGCGGATTGACAAAGTAGGAGCTCATCGGAGGGCGGGGGGCGAGCGGAGGCGCCGCCAGCCGCAGCAGCAGCAAGTCCAGGAGAGCAGCAGCAGCAGCGTCCGCCGCCACCACCACCACCGAGGCCTGCGCAGCCGCCGCCCGGATGACCCAGCTGCTCGGCCAGGCTGCTCCGGCGGCTCTGCCTGCCTTTGCGGACGCACACTGGCGTCGTGGAGCAGAGCCGGGCCGTAGTCGCTGGCCGACTGACCTGCCTCACTGCTTTTACAATTTCCTATTAGGCACACACCAGCCCTGTCGCCGCCACACACTCACTTCACAGGGGCCAGAGTTCAGGGCAAGGCAGGAGAGCAAGGCTTGGCTTGGCGCGCTCAACCTCCGGAGGCCAAAACGAAGTCCCGAACTAAGTATGGAGAGGGAGAGGGGGGGGGGATCCGAGCCCGCCTGCCCTACTTCCTAAAGTAGCCCCCTCGTTGCCCCTGGCAAGCAGCCTCTCCTCTCTGAGCGTCCCCCCCCCACCCGTCCCGCCGCCCGCTGGTAAGCGCCGGGTTCTCTGCTGCGACGCCCGAGCGCAAAAAGCTCGAGCGGAGAGAGAGAGAGAGAGAGATCAAGGGCAGATAACGCAGAGCGCTCCAGGGGCTGGAGGGGAAGGCAGAGCGAGGACTGCGCCGAGGATCTCCGGCGGGGGGGGAGGAGGAGGAGGAGAAGAAGAAGCGATCGAGTGGAGAAGGCCCTTCGGACTTTTAAGGGAGGCGGCCTTCGGGACCGGCTGGGGGAGAAACGGGTTGCGCTGCGCCGCCGTTGCGATCCAGGCTAAGGATAGAGCCGCTCCGCATCGAAATCGTCTCTTCGAGAAGCCGCGTGTCTCTGAACATGTGCAAAGCGCTGGCCAGCCTGGAGAAGGAAGAGGGCTTCTGCTTTCGGGTCAAAGGGCCTTGCCGAGCCTCCAAAACAAAACAAAACAAAACGCCAAAGCGTCGCCGAGTAGAGGAAGCGGATGTAGTTCCCCGGCCGGCGGTCTTGCGCAAGCGGGGTCCCCAAGGGCGCCAAAAGGGACCCGGGCGACCGCGAGGGCCCGGGGGGGGGGAAAGGGACTTACGATATCCCGCGACCGCTGTCGTGGAGGTCACATTAGTCGCCCTTTCAATGCCTTTGCTCGGCCGGGCCTGCGTCTCTCGGCTTGCTAGGGTAGCGCGGGCCGGAGGAGGAAGGCTGGAGGCGAGCGCGCAGAAAAGCCAAGCCGGCCGAGCGGGGGAGGAGAGGGGAAAGGAGAGGAGAGGAGAGGAGAGTGAGGGCGGCGGATGCAGCGGGTAGGCCGCGGGCAAATGAGATGCCCATTTCCCCTTGACGCAGCGCGGCGGCTCCCGGGTTCATTGGCCCTTAATGGCAATCATGCCCATGAATACGCTTTCCACAATTTCCCCCTCGCGGGGCGTCGTTAGCCCAGCCAAGCAAGCGACCGGCATCCCGGAAAGGGCGCGCTGCGGAGGTGGAGGAATGTTTCTCCCGGGAGAGAGAGAGGAGAGGCGAAGTCCGGGAAGAGCCGAACCCAGCACGGCCCGTACCTTCCTTTCCAAAGCGGAGGCGAGGACTGGGGTGGGGGGGGGAACGGAGGCTGTCTTGGGCCAAAGCGCGTTTCTGGAGCCCCGGGCGTTGCTCTCGAGTCGGACCGAGGGTCTTCGGGGGAACGTCCCGGCAGGCGCGCAGGCGGGGAGTGGTGTGACTCGGCCGAAAGAGAGAGAGAAAGGTCGGAGAAGACTTTCTAAGCCAGTGTTTCTCAACCTGGGCAACTTTAAGATGGATGGACTTCAACTCCCAGAATTCCCCAGCCAGCTTTGCTGGCTGGGGAATTCTGGGAGTTGAAGTCCATCCATCTTAAAGTTGCCCAGGTTGAGAAACACTGTTCTAAGCCCTCCTGCCGAGCCGGAGCCTCCTTAAACTGGAAGGCCCGGCAACACCCCAGCTTTCGCCCGGTGGAAATGGTGTGTGGTGCCCAGGCAAGGAAAACAGAACCTGCAGAGGGCATTTTTTTTTAGCCAAAGAGTCAAAATCCTGGATTTGGGAAGGCTGGCAGACAGCAGTGATTTTAAGAGGCGTTTGGCCCCAACACTTCAGCCTGCACACACTGAGCAAGCCATAAAGTCCAAGCCCCAGCCCAGCAGGGTCCTTAAAAAGAGCTCCATCACCTTGTAAGCCTCTATCATGTATGTCTTCTTGGGGGGGGGGAAGTAGGGGGAAGATCTGAGCCATGTTAACACATGAATGCTGTTTCTCTGGATTAGCCGTTGTCATAAATTGTCTCTTTTTAAGGTATGTAACTGTGCCTGTGTTTTTATTCTGAACTCACTTACAGCAAGAGTATTACACCCGCCACAATACTGGCAACATACCAGGACAGATTTTGGACTGTCTTTTTTTTTCCCCCATTCTCACACACAGAGACTTAAAGGAGGCCTTATTTGTCTTCCAGTCACCCTGTGTGTATTTCCAGGAATGAAAGAAGTCAAGCTGGGCTCTGTCACTTCACAGACACATTTGAGCCGTGCTCTTAGCAGCAGACAGGGGCGGTTTGCCATTTGGCTTCTTCTGGGACTCCCCGGCCTACCCCTGCTGGGTCTCTGCTTGAGCTTTCCTGATGGTGTTCCTTCCAAGTTGCGTCCCTGCTTAATTTGGGCTCATCCAAGTGCTGCCATCTGCTGAGAGCTTTAACTGAATATTATAGCTGCTGCAGTTGAAAGCAGAATGGAAGAACAAAAGATTACAACAATTGACACCAGGTTTTGCTCCCTCTCTCTCTCTCTCTCTCTCTCTCTCTCTCTCCCTCCCTCCCTCCCTCCCTCCCTCCCTCTTTTACACATGACTAACTGGGTGCCATGGTTTTTGCTTACCATTATAAATTTAATATGCAAGCCACTGTAAGTTGCCTCTGGGATTGAGGCACTGGTACAAGTTTAATTAATAAAATATCCCTAAGCGCACCTTGAAGGCCCTTGGGTGGCAAAGCTTCTGCAAGCTCTGTTTTGTTTCCATAAAATCAACATTAACCTCTTGATAAAATAAAAATAAACAACGTACACATTTCTATAGGTCTCACTTAATTTCCTGACTTGTGCTTTAAATACAAAAGAATGGCCTGGAAATTCGTATTTTTCATGTGCACATATGCAATCTTTAATCATTAACTTTCATTGATATAAGTATTTTAGAAATACTGAATTGCTTATTTTACCCCATAATTAATTAAAACATACTAAAGAACAGTCATGTTCACTTATGCTGATGAGAAAAAATAAAATCCATGTATTTTCTTCTTTTCTGTTTATTTCCAAACAGAGGGTATACATATTTTTAAACAATTATTCTGTTGGACAAAGCCGGGAAATTAGAAGAGAATAGAGCGATATCGCCCTCTAGTGGCAAAAAACAATAATAATCTAAACTGGCTTTCCGAATAAAATCCCATCAGTTTTTTTCTACAAAGATTAGGAAGTTAACTCTACTGTCTTTTAATCTCCATTAATAAGAAAAATAACATATCTGTGCTAATTTTCCTTGTATGAATATTATTGATCTAATCCAAAATTTAGAGCAAAGTGTGCATTTATTACAAAATTACCAATCGGTTTTATAATCAGTATTGTAAGATAAAAGTATTATTGTATATGCCTTGTTTGGCATTTTTAGAGATTGCAGAATAGTTAACCGTGAATTTCAGCGTTGTCCTCTATTAGCAAGCATATAAGGTATTTCATTATTAGGTCTTTTTTCTGAACCAAGTGTCTTATTTAAGAGGGAAATATAAATATAATTTAAAGACACTATGAAGTCTGAGCTAATTTAATGTGGTGTGAATTTTTTCACATTTGTTTTTGTTTTCATATTATAGGCTTTCCCTTTTGAACTTGATTTTTAACTTAAAATCCTGACTGCAACCTTCATTTCCCCGCTTGTGCGTGATGTTATGGTCACAATCCTTCCCTTCCACATCATGATAAAAACGGTCTTTCAAGCACATGTAAGAACAGGCCACTTGGAAGGGATTTAAGATGCCCATATTTCCAACCAGAATCCATCAGACTAGCTAGTAACATTCTGAAATCAATACACATGGACTTGGATTAACCCTGGGAAGTTTAGATTCATCTCAGCTCAACCCAAAAGGCTGATAGCTTTTTTTCTTGCTCTAAATTGCTATGTCTGGTAAGTCTGAGAGAGGTCTAATTTTGACACGTCTCTTAACTTGCTTTTAGCCCCTTCCCAATCTGTTTTTTTTTTAAAAAAAATGATTTCTGCTTTTCTAAACTGATCCTCCAATGGCAATCCCAACCCAAGAACTGTCCCAACTTTTCCAGGGTTGGCGTCTTAACAGTTGATGTTTATGGCCCAACTTTTTAAGACCTCATTTTGTTAGCGTTTGTGTTTTTGCCCTTTCCAAAATACCCCACAAACATCAAAATAATGGTGGTCTCAAAAGTACCATCCCATATCGTAAACTCATTAGGTCCAGACGTCTGCTCTTTTCAATGGTTTTATTATACCTTGGCTCTTCCTGTTTTCAAAAAGAATGATAGGCAGAGAGTTGGCGATAAATAGAGCAGCAATCCAGCACTTTTTTCTCCGGCCTTTATCCTTCATGCTGCTGGGTAGGGAGCAGGGGAAAGGGAAGTACGATACCATCTCCAGATCTAAGAAGCCTCAAAGTCCCTGAGGCAGTTTCTCTGTGTTTAAATATTTGTTCAGATACCTTAAAAGGCTGTATTTCTAGATTCTTAAATTCGGCATAGAGCTTATGCCCGTTTTGTCTATTTATTATCTATCTATCTATCTATCTATCTATCTATCTATCTATCTATCTATCTATCTATCTATCTAAATCTGATTTCCTGAAGTCAATAGGACTTCACAGTCAGTTGGCGGATTTTAGCAAACTTTTTAAAAACACAGGCATGTAAATATAGTCAGAACAAGTTACTTGGCTAAATATTTGATTGACGTAAGCCCAGGATTAAATAGGCATTAAATATTATTGGCACAACTGACCAGGTAAAAGAGGGATTTATCATTTTTTATGGCCTAGATTTATTTAAAAAAAGAGGAAAAAAGTTCCAGGAGATACCATTTGGACATACAGAATAATTGTGACTTGATTTCTGCTCTTTATTTTGATTGACAAATAAAGATTTGTTAATCTCACCGTTCTCCCACCTCATAAAAAGAAATAGTTCCAAAAACCTTTGTACTTTTTTATTTTCTGAACAAGTAATATGTTTGTAGGATGCCATCAAGAATAATACTGTTGTTTCCTAGGTTGGTAGCCAGTTGGGAGTGGAAGATGATCCTTCAGTCACTGAAAAGCCAGTCACTGTATTTTAGATTAAGGGTGATCTAGTAGAAACCGTGGATTTGCAGACAGTTTTGGAGACAGAGATGGCCAAGCTGTGGCCTTATAGCAAGCAGCCAAAGGCACTTATGTCACACTGAGATCTGTCTTCCCACTTGCTTTCCCCTTCAAAAGCTGAAGATTTTGTTTTCATGAGCCCAAATTTTATTCCAGAACCTAGGACACATGCAAGTAAATAAACAAATAAACAAAAAACAGGGAACAAGAAGCAAATAATAATAGAAGATAATGAATTGGAGTTTTTTTTATCACAAGATATCAGGATCTGAAGATCAAAATTGAAAGATTATGGCATAAACCAGCCATAGTTGTCCCAGTGGTTATCAGCATACCGGGTGCCATATCCAAAAATCTTGGATGACACTTAGAAAATCTGTGCATTGACAACATACCCATCTGTCAATTGTAAAAGGCCACACTGCTTTGAGTCACATACATACTATGCCAATATATTATGACATCTTAGGTTAACACCAACACCAGCTACAGAACTGGCAGTTGTGCTTCACATTGTTGTGAACAGATAATAATAATTCATTCTTAAATAGAATCACAAATAAAACAAAAAATACAGACTGTGAACCAAAGTGTTTTAGGCCTACAAACATTAATAAAGTTTCAAGTACCACTCTTAATACACTGCATTGAAGAAAGGAAGCTGTGCTTAAATAATAATAATATATTATTAATAATATTGGCACTCTGGATGCCATACCAAAACATCTTGGATGGCATTTAGAAAACTTCTCAGTGACAAAATTTCCATCTGTCAACTACAAAAGGCCACTGCTTGGATCCATAAATATACTATACGGATTATGATTACAATATGACATCCTAGGTTGGGAGGAACGCCACGAGAATAAAGGCCAATCTCATAACTGGCAGCTATGATTTCACTTTAAAAAAAAACCATCTGGCTATGTAACCATAATAATAATAATCCCCCTTAATTTTAGAAAAAAAAACCTACCCTGCTTGGAATTGCCTATATTCTTAGAGACTACCTTAATAATTCTTAATAATTTTTAGGTTCTTGGTTAAGACTTGAATTATTAAATTTCCACCAGTCCTTGACTATGAATCTAACTGTGGGTAAGCCATACATAATAATCCCCATTCTCATCCTTCTTTCTGACATGAGTCTTGGAAAACTAAGTAGGCAGAACCCAGAGAGATGGGGGAACAGTCAAACTGTCTTTGAGGAAGTGCAGGCTTTGCGTGCTAATGCATTAAAACAGCTTGCTTTATAATTCAGGATTATCGTGAAGCTCCTTAACTTTGCTATAACTCTGGGCAAGACACTGGAAAGGGGGGGTGGTGAGGTTTTCTAAGTCACTTTTGCGAAGCACTTCAAACAATAAACTCCCCCCAAATAATATGCACTCACTATATGTCAAAACCAAGTGAAAGGTGGGAGAAAAAAACAGCTTTTCAAGTCTTCTCTGCCCAAAAGCCTTTCCCGCCCATCCCTTTTCATTCTAAAGTATCAAGGGTCGCATATCTTTCATTTTTAAAAAAATCTTCTGATCTAAAGTTTGAATCAATGCACCTGGGGAAAATTTTTTTAAGAATAATTAATTGCTGCAATTCTCTGTACACATGTGCATTTGTGTGTACATGTGTATCTGGGTGTGTATCATAAAAAAAAAATGCTACAATATTTCCACCAAAATACACCCGTAGTTGTTAGTCCCCTTTATTCCCTTTTTCCTTTATTCATTTTTTTCATTTTCATTCTTCGGTTCTGAAACCAGATTTTAACCTGTCTCTCTGTGAGGTTTAAAATCCTAGCGACTTCATAGCGGCGTTCTCGGGTGAGGTACATATTAAAGAGGAATTCCTTTTCCAGTTCCAGAGTTTGGAATTTTGTGTAAGGACAGCGCTTTTTCCGGGTGGAGCGGGCATGGATCCAGTTTGCAGCGGGGTTATCTGAAAAGGAGGGAAACAGGAGAGGGGAAGAAAATAAGGGAGGGGAGGATTTGGTGAGGGGAGAAGGGCAGCCACGGGGGTGGGGTGGGGGTGGAAATGAGAGGAAGGTTGTTAAATTAATTTCAGAAGTCTCCCTGTGCTTTTCACAACCGAGGAGAGATTATCATAAAATGCCTGAAAAGCCCAGTCTGCTGGCCTGACCGAGTGAGGTCTTCTTGATGACAGAAAAGTAGTTATGGGGTTCCCTTTTTATGGGTGCCTGTTGGTGCTTTGCTGGGATAGGAGTCTAGACGTTTTTATAGGTTAGTAAAACTATCCCTTTTGCACACTGGAGCCTTACAGGTTGGGGCAATAAATCAGCTTGTGTGTGCTTTCTTTTCCTTCCTTCCTTCCTTCCTTCCTTCCTTCCTTCCTTCCTTCCTTTTTCTTTCTCTTTCTTTCTTTCTTTCTTTCTTTCTTTCTTTCTTTCTTTCTTTCTTTCTTTCTTTCTTTCTTTCTTCCTTCCTTCCTTCCTTCCTTCCTATCCCAATTTTCTCCTTTTTTCAAAACTTACTTGGGCCGAGCTGCTGCTCCTGTTTTTCCTCCTTCAGGTCGCTGAGCGGGCTGGGGTTACGGCTGCCTCCAGAGGCTGGCTTGGCCGGGCTGAGGCTGGCGTTGCTGGCGGTGGCGGCGAGGGCGGGTGCACCCAGCCCGGCAGCAGCCGCCGCCGCCGCCGCCTGTTCGCCGGCTGCTGCCAGAAAGGAGCCGCACGTGTAGTCGGAGGGCCCACGGGCGCGGCCGGCGGGCGAGGAGCTCTCGGTCCGTGGGGCCGGAGAAGCGGACGCGGAGGCAGGGGCGCCGCTGGCGGTAGAAGCGAAGCCTCGGGGGTCAAGCGAAGCGGAGCTGGCAGCCTTGCCGATCCCGTAGAGGTGTCCAGCAGCGGCGGCGGAGTCTCGGTCGGAGACGACGGCGGGCGCAGCCGAGAGGGCGGCGTGGCTGCCGCGAAAGGCCGCGTAGGGGTCGAGCCAGGAATGGACGTACCTGGGCCCCTCGCCCGGCCCTCCAAGGGGTGGCGGGGCCACGTACGGAGGGTAGACGCCCGGCAGCGGGGTGGACGGCTGAGCCGGAGCAGGGCGGGCGGGCACGGCGGGCCAGGAGGAGAAGACGGGCGGCTTGGGCGTAAAGCTGCACGGGGCAAACTCCGACCCTTCGGTTACCGCACCCGAGGGGGGCAGGCGGGGGGCGGCGAGGGGGTGACCCCCTGGTAGGAACCGGCCGGGGCCGCCGCCGCCCGCTCTTCCGCCGTACCCTTCCTCGGTGTCAGGGCCTAGGAGCGAGTCCACGTAGTAGTTACCGAGGGGCCCGCCCGACGACATTTTGGGGAGATTCCCTCCGTGGCACGGCATGGGGCGGAGGGGGGGGGGAGAGAGAAGTTGAGGGGAAAAGAAAAAAAAAAGGTTAACACTGTGGAGATTTTTCGCCCGGTCCCGGGAGCAACCCTGGGATTTTGCAGCCTTGCTCAGCCTCAAACTATTGGTCCCTCCGCCCACGTGATCATATTTACCAATACTCGCAGTAAATCAATCCGCTACTTTGGCGGTCGGGAACGTTTGCTGGTATATGATTTTAAAAAAAATTATATATATATATATATATATCTCCTTACCCCGCCCCAACTCATCTGCAACCCATGAAGAGCCCCCCCCCTCCCCTCAAACTGCACTTGAGGAAACGAAGGCCAGCCGCGGCCCTGACATTGTGCGCCGGGGGAGGGGAGGGGAGGGGGGGAGAGAAGGGGAAAGAGAGCGAGAGGACAGGAGCCGAATCCTTCCACGGCCCTCCCGCCTCAGCCAGACGCCCGGAGGGCGTGGCCCTCCCTCAGAGGAGCCAAAGCGCAAATTGGCGGACTATTTCTTCGCCTTCTTGGGCCGGAGTTCGCCATTCGTTCCCGCGCGCGTCCAACGGGCGGAGAGCGCTGACCGAGCTGAGCTCGCTGGCAGAAGGCCCTGAAAGACAGCGAGGAGGAGGAGGAGGAGGAGGAAGAGGGGAGGCCGGGCGGAGGTTGGGGGTGGTGGTGTGTGTGGAGAGAAGGGGAGACGCCGGGGAGCAAAGGAGAGACTCCCGGCCCCCAGAAAGCAAACGCCTAGGGCGAGCAGCTCGTGCAACTGCGCAGTGCGGGGCTCGTTTTGCCGGAGCGAGACTCGGGATCTCTTCCCAAACCGAGCAACAGGAGCCCTGAACGAATGGAAAGGAGGAGGGTGGGGGGGGGAGAGGGGAGAAAGCAGGGTTGCCCCTTGTCTTGTTTGAAAACAGGTGGAAGTCGAGACCTTCTCTCTCCGCGATGATTTTTATGCTTTTCAATAAATGTTTTATGAGATGGCATTTGATTACAGATTAATGCGTTCCGTCGTCTAATAAAACGGACTGGTGGCACGGAGCCTCTCTCTCTCCGTCTCTCTCTCTCCCTCCCTCCCTCCCTCTCTCCCCTCTCTTCCTCTCTCTCTCTCTCTCTCTCCCTCCCTCTCTCCCCCTCTTCCTCTCTCTCTCTCTCTCTGTCTCTCTGTCTCTCTCCGTCCCCCCTTTCCGCCTTCAGGGCTAACATCAACCTGAATGCCAGCCCTTCCCAGAGGTCTGAACTGCAAGGACTTCAAAGAAGCGGCAGTATAACTTCCAGGAGTTGGGGGAGAGAATAAAAACGAATTGAGTGCACCTAGTGAATGGAGCGGCCTCGGCCTTGCTACGCCCCAGCCCGCTGGAAGACGGCAGTCGAAAAGAGGGGTGGGGTGGGTTAGGGTGGGGTGGCGGCACCCCTGCCAACTTCCAGGAAGAAATGCTTTTTTTTTTTACTAGTTGGAAGCCCCCGGCCACCTCCAGTCGCTTCCCCCCACCATCCAATTAAATCGAGGACTTTCACCCGTATTTTACTGCCTTTATTATGGACTGGTGGAGGCCAAGTTTCCGGCTGTAGGTTTTAGCACTAGACTAGAGGAACAATGGTCTCGCCCGTCTTCCAGCAATTCAACTCCTTTTTCATCTCTCTTTTTTTGTTTTTTGTTTTTTTGCAAGCGCGCCCGCGCGCGGCTTTTTTCATTTTCTTTTTCATTAAGGCTAGACCTGGGTTTGCTTGAATGAGGGACGAGATCCGTGGGAATCCAGTGTCTCGCGTCAATTAAAGAAGCCGGACGCTGCTGTCCCGCACGTTTGCCTCCCGAAAGGCGCAGAAAGGCGAGGTGGAGTATTTTCCTAGTACGGTATATATATGCCTCTCCTTTCGGAAATTTGCTAGAAGCCGGCGTGTTTACAGCCCTATTCCTTTTAATTTCAAACAACATCAAAGCCCTCTGTTTATTATGGCGAAGGCACACGTTTATAGGTGGGATGCCCGTGCCTGCGTGCCTATGTGTCTATGCACAAGCACGCACGACCAGCCAGTCGCGCGTAAGGCTGAGAAACGTACCTATCCTAATTGGTGTAACAATGTGGAAACCATTGGCCTCGGCTGGCGCAGAATTTATGTTCAGAATAAAACGGGCTTGGAGACGCTGCCGAAGAAGGCAACGTCTGGGTGTTTCTCTTCACCCCTCAAAGTATGTAACAAATCCAAATTATGTTATGGGCAGCGAGGTGTCCGGATACCAAACTGACTGACATTTCAGCCAGTTAAATGTATAAGGGGAAAAACATGCTCGATCCACCAGATCGAAAGGTATGAGTTTAGAAACATGTGAGGTACATCAGCATATAAACAAAGAAAAACTCATGGGTAAATCATGGGTAAAGTCTTCGCAATACATCCCTGGAAGTTAGTAATGCTCAGACCATTTCCTAAGGAAATTTCCCTTCGCCAGATCGAGAATTCTTCTCAAAAAAACCACCTTCGCGGGCTAAAAGCAGCGGAGGAAGCCAGAACAGAGAACCAAACTCGTGCTCTGAGCTTCCTTTTCCGACGTACTCAGGTATCCTTAGGAAAGCAATACAGCATTTTCGTAAGGACAGAGGCAAGGTCCCGGCTTAGAACGCAAGGTGGGTCAATGGGGCGCCTGCTTTTTGAAGCTGAACACGGATCCAAGCGTTTGGACTTCTGTGGAGTCCTTGGTTTTCTCTCAGCTTGCTTGTTTTCTTGCAGACAGACATTACTTTGCAATGAAACGTCTGGAAGAAAACAGCCACGCTCAGAGAGCTGCAAGGACCCCAGAGTTTAGCCCTGAGCTACAAATATTCTCTTCCATTGGTACCCTTTGGACTTCATTTAAGAGTCACGTTCGTTTGCAAACTCCCACTGAACGCCCCCAGCTTTCTCTCTCGACCTCCTCTTCCTCCTTCCTTCCTTCCTTCCTTCCTTCCTTCCTTCCTTCCTTCCTTCCTTCCTTCCTTCTTTTCTTCCTTCCTTCTTTTCTTCCTTCTTTTCTTCCTTCCTTCCTTCCTCACTCCCTCCCCCCAGCCTCCTTTCACAAAAGATAAACTGACTGCTGGTAATATTTATTTTGCAGGAATGTGGGATGCAAAAAAGTCCCAAGCTCCATTATCTTGACATTTGGTGCAAGAACAATCAAAACGGCCAGGATTGCAGGGAAACTAAAACAGATTTGCACCGATCCATGCCCACATAAATCCCGATCCATGCCCACATAAATCCCGCGCACCCATTGCAACTTGTTGAAAGTGGAGAGGAAAGGGCTATAATGTTCAGACAGAGGGACAAAATTATTCCTCTGATTTTCAGAAGGCGACTGAGTAACACTCATTGCAGGTTCCTCAGCAGAGTTAAACACACAGACATACACACACATTTAAAGAAAATAAAGCACAATGTGTGGGAAGTTTCACTTACAGTTTCCCTTGCCTGCTAGATTGCCCACGACCAATATTTACAAAACATCCTGTTTATCCTGCTCCAGAGATTGCCTTACTTTGGTTTGAGGTTTCTGCTTTGCTTGTTTTTTTAAAGCCACTGACCATGTAATCGTGGAAAGGAGGCTTGTGTCGGCCTTAAGTCAAAGATTTTGTCAACCCTGAAAGCTTCCTGGCTACATTGCAACCAGCGCTTAGCCATTGCATTTGCTCTTACACTTAACAGTCCATAAAAAAGAAGGAGAAAGAGGAGGAGGAGGAAGAACAAAATGGGAACTAGTCAATGGCAAGCAGCTTCCCTTTCCTGCATGTCTGTCTTTTTCCAGGCCCGCAGGAAGGGATTCAGCCAACTCTTGGCTGCTCAGATTTTCTGGAAAGATGAATGGAACTCAGTAACTTTACAGAATTTATTGCATTATACATGCAAATAAGACATGCACAAAAAGGAGACATATTGCTTGTAAAGACCACAATTCCACATATGCACCACAAGGAGAGAGAGAGAAGGATACATCCATAGCTGTGGATGAAAGAGACTTTGACATGAAGCACAAATCTAACACATGGGAGGATGGAGATGGAGATTTACATCGTCAAATGTGCTCGTTTGTCCTTTCTTTTGCTTCCCAAACCCGGGAAGCACATTTATTAATTTATTTTATTCAATTATTGTTAAACTGTTGTCTATATTCCAAATGTTATGGCCCATGTAGTAGCCCCCACATAAATACCCCTTGTTTAGTTAAAAGCATAAAAAAATACATTGTCCGAACAGTCAACAGCTCTAATAAGTTAAGACCAAGTTATAAGGATCAATCAGAATTTACCCTGCATTACGATGAAGGAAAACAAACTGTACATGTGAAACGAAGAGAGAGAGAGAGAGAAAGAGAGAGAGAGAGAGAGAGAGAGAGAGAGAGAGAGAGAGAGAGAGAGAGAGAGAGAGAGGGAGGGAGGGAGGGAGAGAGAGAAAGAGACAGAGAGAAAGACATATCATAGGAACATACATGGACATTTGCATCACTAAAAATAATAACAAAAGGTCACATTCTATCAGAAAATTTAAAAATGGAACACGAAGGCATGTACCCGTCGCCCGCTACCCACCCACCCACCCACCCACCACCTGGGCCAGTCTTTCTTAATCATGGGGCAACCAATGGTAACAGCATTATGGCCAGCCCAGGTTGTGCGGTTTAAGAGAAAGTCAGATTAGCAGTCAGTTCTCGGATTCGGTTCTCCCTACTCATCTTCTTGAGTTTCATTCTGCGGTTTTGGAACCAGATCTTGACCTGCCTGTCAGTGAGGTTTACGCTCTTACTGATCTCTAGGCGGCGCTCTCGGGTGAGATACATATTGAACAAGAATTCTTTCTCTAATTCCAGTGTTTGGTGTTTAGTATAAGGGCACCTCTTCTTTCTGCCACTCTTTGCCGTTAACCAATTGCTGGTTGGAGTATCAGACTTGGCTTCCTCTAGTGAAATCGAAGGGAGAAGGGAGGGGGGAGGGGGGAGGAAGACAAGAC